CATGCAGCCCCTCACCCGCCTGCCTGGCCCAGAGGCTCCCAGCAGTGCTCCCATCCCCGGGTACTGGCCACCAGGGTGCTCAGGGAGGACATGGTCCCCCTGCCACCAACCAGAGCTGCTCTTGAGTCCCACCACAGCAGCCAAGCACCCAGGAAAGGTTCTCCCTGATCTTTTGCAGCTCAGAGTCCTTTCAGCAGAACTTTCCAAGCACTTCAGATCCACCCAGGCAGGGGCTGGGGGAGGCAGAGGCTCGTGCCTGGCACCCATCCCCTGCTCTGAATGCAGCCCTGCACTGGTACCTGTGACAGGGGCAAGAGGCCACCTCAGTCTGGATGGAGATGCCAGCACTGAGTGACTTGGGCTCTAAGCAGGCAGAGGAAAGGCAGGAATCAGTGCAATGATGGGTCCCCCACCCCAGGTTGCAGCACCACAGGATCCCTGGGAGCCCATCCGTGGGGTGGGACAGAGCTGAGCTGTGTCCTGGCCCCGATGCCACCCCACAGCCTTTGTCCCCATGGAGCAAGCCCAGGTGCCCCCGTGCTGGGCAGCAGGGGCAGGGCTGGCTCACCAAGGGTGCTGAGCTGAGAGGTGCCGTGGCTCTGGTGCTGGGTGTCCGGGGAGGCCTGGCAAATCTTCCTCTTGAAGGAGGTGAAGAGGTGTTGGCAAAGCTCCTCAGGCACATCTGCCTCCAGGTAGGTCCTCATGAAGAGACGAAAGCCCTCATAGTCAATGGGCTGGGGAGGGGGACAGAGGAGGCTGCTGCAGGTGCCCAGGCACACAGGGAGGAGGCAGAGTTGCCAGCAGGGAGGGCTCTGTGCCTTGGGACCCCCTCACTGGCCACGTCAGCTGCAGAGCCCTCCTCCAAACTCCCCAGATGCAGACATTCTGGCATGGCCAAGGGAGGCAGGGGTGTGGGAGGCAGGGGGGTGTCATGAGCAGTGCTCTGAAAGCTCCCACTTTCCCTCCAGGGGAGGGCATGGAGCAGCAGATCCCTCCAGCCCACCCACAGGCCCTGGGGACGACCTTCCTCTTGAGGTCTCCTGCCTCCCCCTTCCCCACTGAGCATCCCAGCAGGATGTTGTCTCCCTGAGGGTTGCTGTGGTGCCAGCTGGAGCAGGGCTCCTGTGGTGCCCCTGAAGAGCAGGGTAGTTTTGCTGCCCCTCCTCACCACGTTCAGCCCACTGACTTTTGCATTTCCCCTGGTTTCTAGTGATGATGGCCCCCAGGAAAGGCTGTGTCCTGCTGCCACACTAGCAGGTCCCTCTTGAAAGCACCACTTGGAAAAAATAACCCCAACTTTCCCCAGGCAAGATGGAGAAGGGGCAGGACCTTCCCCTGCCCCACAGCTGACAACAACAGAATCATTTGCTTTGGGAAGAGAGAGAAAATCCTTCCTGGCTTCTGCCTGGCAAGGAGATCCCTGAATGTGCTCCCAGTGAGGCAGGACACAGCTGTGGGGTCCCAGCAGCACTGCTAGGGTGGCCACACAGTAAGGTCTGGTCCCTGGGATGAGCCTGGGGCTGAGAAAAGATGCTTCCCATCTGTGGAAGCATCTTTCCCAGTCCTGGGAATACAGCCGTGGGGAGAGGCAAGGGGTGGACAAACAGACAGACGTGCCTTCTCCTGGCTGCTTTTAGCTGGGGGAGCCAGCAGGGGGGCTGGGAGGCTGGAGGGGACAAGGCCAGACCTGCTCGGGGTTGTACTTGGAGAGGACACCATCCCCATGGAATTCCTCCAGGACATCCTTGAGCTTCTTGGTGGAGTCTGAGGAGACAAAAGCATCAGACTGAGCACAGAACCCTTTGCTGTTAGACCACCAGCAGGGTAGTGGAGATGAGTTTATCTGCTAGATAGACAGTTTCTGGTGCCCTCCATGCCTGGGGTCATCCCTGCCCTGCTCTCCTGGCTGGGCATCCTCAGGGCTGGAGGGACCTCAGTCCTTCAAAAATTGACAACTAAGAGAATCCTGGGGAAAAAAAAAGAAATCAAGGGGAAGGAACATGAATGCTTAACATTCAGATGCAGATCTCTGAGCACGTCCATTTAAAAGACTCTCGGACACACCAGCCCTGTAAAACTACTGTGAAATCCTCTCTCCAAGCTGAGGGTTGTGCTGGCTCCTGCTCCCTGCAGCCCTCTGCTGGGGATGGAGCTCAGGAGCAGATATCCAGGATGCCTGGGGCAGGGCTGGGGGTTGCAGAGCACAACGGGGGGCCAGTGTGTGCTTGAGGAGGGGACTCCTGGCCCCAGGGCTTGGGAGGACTCGTGGGAGAGCCCCCCCAGCCCTGCTCCCCAGCCCAGTTCCAGGCCACCCCCTGGGGAGGAGGCAGCTGCCCACACTGCAGCCCTGCTCCCCACACTTGGAGCAAGGAAATGAAGAGACTGTGAGTGTTCTGAGCTGAGTGTCACAGATGGTGTTTCATGGGCTGTGATTTAAGAAAGCAGAGCCCGTTCTCCAGGGAGGCAGGAGGAGATGCAGGCAGGGATGCTGCACACACAGCTCTGCCCACCCCCTGCCTGCCCCTCCTGGGGTGTCTGGCAGGCAGGCAGGGGGTGGGGGGAGCTGGCACTGGGCTGTTTGGATGGGGTGATGGTGTCCCCCCTTCACTGCCAGCCCTGATCTGCTTCACCTTGCCCTTACAACAAGCAGCAGCCCCAAGGACAGAGACTCATGGGGTCCCCTTTCCCTTCCAGTCCCCTCCCAAGCAGCTGCAGGAGCCCGCTCACCCCCAGCCTGTGCTGCCCCTGCAAAATGATGTCCCTGAGATTTTAAACTCCTTTCTCCCTTTGCCCTACAGTCCTTGTTGGCCCTTCCTGCCCTCCCTGCCCTGCTCTCAGCACCTCTCTGGGCTGCACCACCTCTTCATTGCCCACTGCAACAGGCAAGCTGCTCTCCAGCAGGCAGGACCTCCAGGACCTGGTTTCAGAGCCCTGGGCTGTGTCCCAGCTCCCTCCCCAGCCACTTGCAGCCCCAGGACCTCCCTGCCCCATCTCCAACCTCCTCGCCTGGGCAGAAGCTGCAGGAGAGGGTTGCTGTGCAAAAGCACCAAGTGCAGGGAGAGCAGAGGGACTGGCAGCTCCAGAGGAGCTGTGGAGCAGCTTGGCAGGCTGGGGCAGAGCCAGCCTGCCTGCCTTGCTGGCATTTTGCTTCGCTTGCCAACGTGGGCACTGACCACCCCCGGAGGGACTGAGCTGTGCTCGTGTGTGCAGCCCCCAGAGCAGGGGGAGCTCCTGCTAAACCCTCCACAGGCACGAGGACTCCTTGGCCAAGCCCCAGCAGCCAGGGCTGGGGTTCAGGGACCTCCCCAGCCACCCCACCCCGAGCCTAAGAAGTCATCTAGCGCTCCAGGAGGACACCAAGCTCTGGCACAGATCTCCCTGCCCTGGAGGGGCACAGGGGGGTGCAGGGTACTCACAGTCCGTGTACTGTTGGAGCTGGGCAAACTCGGTGGGGCTGAGCGAGATCCACCCTCCATCACTCATCTTCAGGTGAGGGGCCCCAAAGCAGGGGCCAGCAGGAGCTGCTGTGCTGGCCGTGCCGGGCTCGGGGCTGCAGCTCCCAGCTGGTCACTTGGTCACATTGGCACCAGGAGGGGCATGGGAGGCTCTTGGCCTGCTGGCACCATCCTGGGCAGCAAACCCCAGAGCCTCAGAGCACCTGGGCAGCACCTTCCTGGGAGAGAAAGACAGGAGGAGGTCAGGGGTGTCCTACCCACACAGGCTGGCTCCTTCCTGCACAGGTTGCCCGGCCATGGTGGTCCACAAAGCTGGCACAGGGGGTGCTGGAGCTTGGAATGAGGGTGCAGGGGTGCTTTCCTAGCCAGAGAGGGCCCCAGCTGCTGCATGGGAATGGAGAGGAGTGTGCCAGCAGAAAGGGGGTGAAGTGGAAGGAGAAGCCCAGAACACGTCCCCACATCCCCATCCCTGGGGATCAGTGTCCCCCGGGAGCCCTCACCACGGAGCTGGTGTGGTGCCACCACAAGGACCACAGCTCCCAGCAGCTGCAGGGTGCAGCCCAGCAGGGACAAGGAAATGCTGTGAGCCTGGGAAAGGAGCTTCTCACCCTATTTACCCCCCAGCATTTTCCAGGGAAACCCAGCATGACAGGAGCAGAAGGAAGGACACAATTAATTAGAGAATACACAGTGCCTGGAAGCAAAGGGTTCTGAATGAGTGGAAACTCCCAGCTTGCACCTTCATCTCTGAAGCTGGTGGTGACCTTCAGCTGACTCTGATGCTGAGAGTTATTGTCAATTAAAATCTACCTTCAGAACGGGGGGAGAGGAAACCTGCTCAGGCTGGCAAAGCCTGCACCACAGAGGAAATGTCAGAAGGTCTCCTCCAATCAAGCCAACCTCTCCAGCCCTTCCATTTGCAAGGCATCCAATTTGATGAGCTTCTTAACAGAATCAGTCATGGCAGGGGGGAAAGTGCAGCACCCCGAGGAGGTGAGTGCTCATCAAAGAGAAAGTGAGAACAATTTGATCTTGATTTTAGCACCATCTCCCTGCTAAATGTTGGCTCCCTGTTTCCACCAGCCAGAGCCTGAAGGGCTGGAGAAAGCAGAGCCCTGGTGGGATGGGAAGGGCTTTGTGACCTGGGGTGGTGCTCAGGGAACACCCTCATCCCTCACGGCTGGCTGGGCTGCCCCGGGTGCCTTTGCATTCACGGGAAAAGGTGTTTAATTAAGGAGAGCCAGTCGGTTTTTTGTGGGGAGCTGCCAGGTCCCACCTGTGCCAGCACCCCAGCCAGTGCTCCTAAGGGCCAGCTCCACACAGGCTGCAGCAGGGAGCAGTGCCACCCTCTCCTCGGGGCTGCACACGGGATGGTGTCCCCTGAGCCAGCAGCACAGGGCTGAGCACCCCCCGGCACTGCCAGGTGGCATCCAAGGGCTTTTCCAGCTGCGGGGAGCCGCTGCACATCTGGAGGGAAGTTCACCGAACCCCCCCGGGGGCGCACGTTTGCGGGAGTTAAAAGCCAGGGCTGTGCTTAACCCTGCTCAGCTGGATCCTCCCGGAGCTGCAGCTCAGAGCACACCCCGTTTCACAGCTGGGAAGCTCCTCCACAGCTGGGAAGCTCCTCCAGCCCCTGCAGCCAGGGGGGGAATTGCAAATCTTGCCAGGTATAAACCCAGGTCCTGCTGGGGCTGCTGCTGCCGCCCGGGGATGCTCTACTTTGGGCTGCTTGTCCAAAATAGCTCCTGCCCCTTTCCCCTCTGGCTCTCCCCTCCCTCTGCCCCAGCGAGCACAGCTGCTGGGGCTCTGGTCCTGTCCTGTGGGCTGGGGCTTCTTGGCTGCAGCACATCATGACTCCAAGGTTGCTGGGAGCTGAGCTGGCAGGGGCTTTAGGGACCCCCCCCCCCCCGAGATGCTGCTTTCTGCTCCTACCCACGGTGACAAGGGGACAACTTCCTCAGGGCTGAGGGTGCTGCTGTCACCTGCCTGCTCTGGGGACAACACACAACCCCACAGGAAATGTCACCTCCCCACCCCTGCCAGAGCCCTGACAGCCCCATGGCAACTCATCCCCAGCCTGTGGCTGTCCCAGCTCATGCTGGCAGCACTTCTGCCCCAACTGGGGACAGGAAGAACAGAACAGTTCGAGGGCTGGGGAAAATAAAACCACCCAGTGTCTTCACACACTGGCATCGGTCTTTCTGGGGACTTCCATCTCAGGGAAAGGATAAGCAGGAATATGGTGTTTGCACCTTTCCAGTGTGAAGGGTTTGTCCCCAAGGTGCCTCTGAGGCTGGTCCAGAAGAGCTCAGACTGTAAGGAACCCTCCAGAGGTGCACACAGACTTTCTGTTCCTGCCAAATGAGCTGTTGGGTTTTGGTAGGACCAGAACCTATTTTTATATATATATATATATGTGTGTGTGTGTGTGTGTATATATATATATATATATATAAATCCTA